TTCCCTCTTTCTTCCTGCTCGGGAGGCAGATGTGAGGCCTGGAAGTGACACAGCCACTTTGCAGCTAGGAAGCCACAAGTAAGAGGAGGTAGAATAGAAAGAGTAAAATAGCCTGTGTCCCGGACGGCTGACCAGCCTCCACGGCCTGCCTCTGAGTTTTTGTTACAAGGACAAAGACACACAGACCCTGTCCTACTGCTGTTAGGTTTTCTGCTATTTGCAGCTGAACACAATCCTTTTGGAGACAGGGTTCGAATCCTTCATGGATGGGGTTGCCAGATTTAGGAAATAAAAATACAGATGCTCGGTTAAATTTCAATTTCAGATAAGCAGTGAATAATTTTCAGCACGAGTGTGTCCCAGGCCGTATTTGGGACATACTTATACTAAAATATTGTTTATCTGAAATGTGAACTTTCATGGATAAAGTAACAGAACCCAGAGAGGTTGCACATCTTGTCCGAGATCTCGTCCTGAGCAAGCGGTGGAGCACAGGCTGTGTCCTCCTCCGGGGCCTCTAGGGCCTCCTAAAACCTGCCGTAATGATGCACAAAGGAGACTCAGAAGAACCATGTGACTCACCGCCCCGGACAAAGCAATCGAGCTAAGAGCGGTCCAAAGACGAGAGTCGTGCAGAAAGCGACGGTCGGTGATGGAAGCTTCTGCTCCAGTGGATGCCCTCGTGACATTTTAATTCCATTTGACAAAAGTACCAGCCGGGGATGGGGGACAGTAGCTCCCCATGGACAGTGTGCGACCACCGGCCAGGACTGGCCCCAGGAGCACTGTGCTGTGAAGGATGCTGAGGCCTCCTCTGCGCTCAGCAGAAAGGCGCAGCAATTGATTAGCCACGCCTGCCGCAAGCTGCGAGGGGTGCAGGCTCCTGGGTGCCCTGCACCCAGGCCAGCCAGTGGGCCAATCACCCAAAGGTCCACATGAAAGGACTGCAACATGTCCAGGTTCTCAGGACCCACATGTCAGGGGTGGCATTCACTGGGTCCCGAGGAGCATCGTTACCCTCAGCATCTCCTTTGGTCCTGGGGGCGATTGACACCCCCCAGTGCAGGCGTCCGCAGAGCCTGATGTTATAACAGGAAGCACGGCCCCTGCCCCAGCCCCTGGCAACCCCGAATCTGCTGTCCATCCCTGTGGAGTGGCCTCTTGTGGGCCTTTCGTATGAGTGGCGTTGTATAATACACGGCCTTTTGTGTCCGGCTTCTTTCACTGAGTATGTTTTCAGGGTTCATCCAAGCTTCTAGCCACTCAGCCGTTCTCCAGATTCCCTCTCTCAGCTGATGTTTCTCCAGCACCTGATGTGCCATGCTCTGTTCCGAGGGGGAATGACCAGGAGAACCACAGACCCTGGAGAGAACAGCCTCCTGATGATCCAGAAAGTAGAGCTCGGGCCCCATGGGCAGGGAGCTGGCAGGAGGTGAGGCGGGGGTGGCAGCAGGACTGGGGTTGAGGCCCGGCCCCCGCACAGAGGTTGGAGGGGTCCCCATCTCTCACCGTGAGGGGGGCAGTTGGCTTGCAGCAGTACCTGCAGAAAGAAGAGGGGTTCTGTCTTCCAACGAAAGAGAACCAAGAGCCTTCCGGCCCCCCGAGTCCTGGCTTGTCCGGTGGGCAGGCTGCTCTGGTCTGTGGCCAGGGTCTTCCCAACGGGCACGTGCCAAGACTCCAGGTACCTGGGCAAGAGAGCTTGAAGGAATCCTGGGGTCCTCAACTTCCAGATTGTTCCAGCAGGAAACGAGGCCTGTGGCTGCCCGTTCTTCAGTCTTCTCGTTTCCTGACCCTCCCTCTCTCCTGCAGGCTGAACCCATCCCAGTGCTTTGCCTCAGGGTATAAAGACCCAGCGAGTCTCCGGGCCTCCCCTGCCTTTGTCTGATGGAAACACCTGTCCCAAATGAGGGACAAGGCAGACGGCCACCCATGTCCTCATGTCCAGCCAGGCTGCCAAGGTCAGTGGGCCTCCCGGAACATGCTTGCATGTCTTTCTTTTGATGCTGATTGGGTCCCAGACGCTGTAAGTTAGGTGTTAACTTGCAGGAAACAGACAAGTTGCCGACCGTTTCTGCTCAGTAGAGAAGATTGTGCTTCATGACTGTGTTTAGGGGTCTCGGGGCGGCGTTCTCTCTTTTTGGGTTGGAAAATTGCTGTGTCCTCCCTTGAGTCGCCTTTGCCACCTGGCTGGCTACCTCAGCAATGAGGGAGACACGTCTCTGACACGTGCTTGCTACACTTTCATAGAAGAATCATGTTTATAGCCTTTTGAGACGTTTGCTTTAACTTACCTTCCTGCCTTCCTGCTTTCTTTCTTTTCTCCCTGTCCATCTATTCATCCACCCACCCACACCCATCCACTGCCATCCATCCATTTACACCAGAAGTGGAATTCCAAAGTGAGACAGTTGAGTCATTAATAACATGCTTATTTGAATTAAAGCTGACAGTGTCATTCTGGGCCCTGACAATTTGGTTTTGTGGCAACATTTCCACTAGTCAAGGCGCTAAACCTGCAGCCGCAGGGTTGTGATGAAAATAGGTCCCAAGCACGTGTGCAACATAAAATATATGATACGCTGGACCACTTGACCTTTGACTGTTTAAACCACAATGTCTAGATGTTTTGAACTGGCCCATCAGCACCATCACCCACAGTCCTATGTCCCCCGTTGGTTTAGAAGGCTATTTGTGAACCCATATACAGGCCCCTTTGTCCCTGTCCATTAAAGTAAAAGGCTTTTGCTTTACTTTCCCAGGCCTGCCCAAGCCTCAAAAGCCTGGCTCAAGAGTGAATGATTACAGGGACTTCCTCGGCGGCGCAGTGGTTAAGAATCTGCCTGCCAATGTGGGGGACATGGGTTTGATCCCTGGTCTGGGAGGATCCCATGTGCCGTGTAGCAACAAAGCCCGTGCGCCACGGCTGCTGAGCCTGCGCTCTAGAGCCCGTGAGCACAACTACTGAAGCCCATGCACCTAGAGCCCGTGCCCCGCAACAAGAGAAGCCACCGCCATGAGAAGCCCGCGCACCGCAACGAAGAATAGCGCCTGCTCGCCTCAACTAGAGAAAGCCCGTGCGCAGCAACAAAGACCCAACGCAGCCATAAATAAATAAATAAATAAATAAATTAATTAATTAATTTTAAAAAAGAGTGAATGATTACAAAATGTGAAGATGTAGAAACAAAGAATACTTGTTGCGCAGGAAATTGGTTATAGTTTAGACTCTAAACCAGCCACAGAGCAGAATCACTGAACTCCCAGTCCCCTGAAAGATCTGGATGAAGGCCTGATGCACATTCCTAAGTTGTTTTTACAGGAAGCTGACCCCCACGAGGTGAAAACTGATGACCACAAGCACATAGACCCCAGACCGGTTGAAACCAGAAGGTTGGTGATGCTCGAAATTTCACCTTGATGCCAACCAATACAAAAATTGTGCACGAGCTACTCAGACACCCTGCATCCCCCTCCCTCACACGACCTTTAAAACCCCTTCCCTGAAAGTCATGGGGGGTGGTTCGGGTCTTTTGAACATGAGCTGCCCATTCTCCTTGCTTGGCACCTGTAATAAACACTGTACTTTCCTTCATCACAGCACAGTATCAGGACATAAGCTCTGCTGTGCACGGGCAAGCAGACCCAAGTTCAGTTCAGTAACATTTGCAGCATGATGCCCACCCGGGGCTCAAGGCCTGTTTCCTACCGAGCAGGCAGGGTGCCTGCAGGGTGGGGAGTCTGTGAAACTGGCGTGTGCCTCTGTGCACTGCTCACTCCGAATGTCTCACGGGTGGTGTTAAGGTCAGCCCTTCTTGTGGCCAGCTAACTGTCACCTTCCAAAACTTCTCTAGTGGCCCTGGGCCCCTGTTATCCACCAAAAAACAGCAGCCCAGGGTCAGGTGTGACTGAGCCCAGTAAGGCCGCTTTGTAAGAAATATCACCTTAAAGGGGGTTTGATTTTTCAAAAAAATTTCAGGGGACATGCCAGCCAAAAGTAATAAAAATCCTCTGAGCCACTGGCTTGGAGGGTAGGCCCTGGCATCCAGCACATGGCAGGCCCGTTTCCCACCAGCCACAGTGTCGGGGCTGCAGGAGCTCTCCCTCCAGGGAGAAGGGAGAGCTCGGTGACACGCCACTATTATTACAGCAGCCCCCACCAGGCCCCCACTGCCCTCCTGGGCCCCAATCCGGCTGCTCTGACCCCGTCCTGCCTGCACCAGCCCAGCTGCCCACCCTCTGCAGCCAGTGCCGCCTGTCACATGTTCCTGGCCTTGCTGAGGGGTGGGCGGGGATGTGTGCTCAGCAGCTCAGTCTCCTGACCCCTCCAGGACAGGCTGAGGCCCCCTCTGTGCAGTGCTGTGCAGGTGGGGGGGACCCGGGGCAGGGGTGGAGGCTCAGGCAGCCAACAGGCAGGCACAAAAGTCCCCTCAGCGGCCTCTTCCTTCTAGCATCGAGGAGGGGCTGCTGGGAGCCCCGTTTCTGGCTTTCTGGAGAGGAGCGGGGTTTCCCAGCTTGGAGGCCTCTGGCCCACTGGCCCACACACACCAGGACTTTCCACCACCCAGGCCTCACGTCAAAGGTCTGGAGCAGGGCTAGAGTCAGGGAGGGGATGGTGCAGAGCGAGGGGGCCACACACCGACTGGCCTCTCCCCCTGCTAGTCACAGCTGGACTCCCCACCACAGCCTCACCCGGGATGACGCTGAGTCCACGTTCAGAAAGGGTTGGACTAGGTCGAGCTGAGGCCTGCCCAGGTGCCAGTGCCTCGCCCCTGCCCACACTAATTTCAGTGAACTGGGCCTCCCCAGGAGCCATAGGGAGATTTCATGACCTCCAGAAACACCCCCACATGACTCTGGACACGTGGCTGTCGAAAGGCCTTTCTCAACGGGAGCCAGGTGGGGTCTCCTTGCGGTCCTACCCTCCCACTGCCTGGGCTCGTGGGGACTCATGGGGCCGCAGGGCAATGCAGGCAGCGCCTGCACGGATCCAGTGTTATCTGTCATCGTGGAGAGAAAACAGACAATTGCAAAAGATGCACAGAACGTGATACTCCTATGTAACAATTTAAAACAGAATATGGCAATGTACCTGGGAAAGACACACACAAATAAAAACAGTCCTTTGGACGGTCCCACAGGTGGGCGGCTCCCAGGGCTGACGTGTGACACCGTCCGCATTTTACACATGACCACGTGGGTCCGAGTTTGGGGACCTCGCAGGGCGCCCTGAGCTGGGTCCAGGCCCAGCAGCCTGGCTTTCAGTGATTTCTGATCCCGTCTCGCTGCTGCAGCATGGGCAGGGGGCACTGGATCTATAACAATTCCTTTGTCCGGCTTGGGATGGGGCTTTCCTGGCGTGGGCGAATTCTTTCACGATTTAAATGAAAGGTGGGCCAGGAGACAACAGGATGCTAGGAGCAGGCGGCGCGTCGGAGGCCCAGCTGCGGGCAACAACCAGACCTGTCCCTTCTGTCTCCTGTTTCCTGTGGGCTCAGCAGTCCGTCCAGTAGGAAATGGACGTGAGCCGCGGGTGAAATATTTCATATTCTGGCAGCCAGGGCAACTGGCTTTAATGCTATGTTCTGGTAAATCGATCTATCTGGAATGTCATCATCCTCACACGTATTCAAGTTAAAGATCACTCAGGTATTTCGCATCCTGCTTTTGCCCAAAGACTTTGAAATCCTGCGCCAGGGTGGCTCAGGCTGGACGGGCAGCCCCAGGGGGTGGCAGAGCCTCGGGGCCGCTGGGCCTCTTCTGCGCTGAGGGTGAGGGGCAGGTGGTGACCTGAGGCCCAGTTGTCGCGGTGACGGGTGAGAAGCGCAGTCTGGACCTCGGGCATTTGCCTGAAGGAGAGGCAGCTCGGCGGGGCAGGGCTGCAGGACCGGGTCCAGCTGTCTCTGGGTCCCCGCGGGAGGGAGGGAAGCACCTGGCAGTTTCGGTTTCCACAGGAAGCCGCCTGCTCCCATCTCCCCTCGAGCCAGCTGTGCTCTCTGCCCTGCAGCTCTGGGTGGCAGCCCCCGCCCGGAGAGCCCCCCAGATGGGGACAGCCCCTTGCGCCGCAGACTAGGAAGCCCCGGTTGAGGGGCCAGGGCCAAGCAGAGCCTCTCGACCGGCCTCCTGAGCCCTGGAGGACTTCAGGGTGGGTGGGTGCAGTACACCTGGGGGCCATGAATGGGAACGATACTGTTCTGACTTGCATTTTTTGTCACCTGCTTTTAGGATGTCGGGTCCTGATCCTGGGTCTAGAAAACACTATGGTGGTGGAGGGGTGGGAATGAGTCTGATGTCTGCGTGTCCATCTATCCAGGGCTGGGCGTACATCGAGGCAATACCCCCCTCCTGAGAAACAGGAAGGGAGAGGCAGGGGCCGGGCGCTCTGAGCCTCCAGGGGGAGGATGTCTCCTGTCCTGAGGCACTGAGGCAGGAGTGGGTGTGCGGCAGGGTGGGTGTGGGGGGCTGGCGGCGGCAGGCAGCGTCCTGGGGAGGTAGGCCCAGGGAC